GTGGGTCAACAAATAAATAAAATGCTTATGTATATGCTTACAACATGAGAATTGCTTATGTATATGCTTACAACATTCAAATGTTTGGGACGAAGAAGATGCCAAAAGCTTCTTCCACCTGATTCCCACGAGCCTTCGACAATTTCTCGAGTCTGAGTCATCTTTCAATATGTAAATTATAATCTTTGTTATATTTGAGTGTTTTTTTTAACACATGTTATATTATTCTTTAATCCTTATATGATTAGTGTAATGGTGACTAGACCTAGTTCACGCGTGGAATATAGACTCTGGCTTGTGTCGACGTACGTTTTCAGATCCAATGTTCTCTTTATTTTATAAGTCGTGTAACAATTGTTATATACTTTGATAAAAATAAATAATAAAAAAACACTTATAATATAGTTAGTTAGTTTATATGCAACAAAAGAGAGATTTATTTATTTAATCCTATTATCCGTATATATATATATATTACAATGGACAATAATATACCACCTAAGTCCACCATAATCCCAACCAAAACAAGCTACAAGAGAAAACAGAATCTAAAGACTTGTGTCCTAATCAAGCAAGAATGTGTGCATTAGTACCTCCATTGTTCCCAAACTTTGGCTGGCCGTCGACGGGAGAGTACGAGAGCTACTACCTCGCCGGAGAGAACCTTAACAACAACACGTTTCTTGATTTTCCGGTACTGGAGACTTATGGAGTGGCTCATCATCAAGACCTCTTGGGAGTATCTGTTTCGTCTGAGGGAAATGAGATAGACAACAATCCGGTCGTGATCAAGAAACTTAATCACAATGCAAGTGAGCGTGACCGTCGCAAGAAGATCAACTCTTTGTTCTCATCTCTCCGTTCATGTCTTCCAGCTTCGGATCAATTGGTAAGTAGTGACGCCGAATCCGTTTCATCTCAAAACCAATTGGAAGTAACTCTTTGTTCGATTAGGTCAATTACATTATTTTAATGTGGGATTTCTAATACGTTTGTCTAATCATCTATACCATTTAGAACAAGAATATTGAATTAACCCTTTTTCTTTCATTTATTTTCTTGCAGAAGAAGCTAAGTATTCCTCAGACGGTTTCGAGGAGCTTGAAGTACATACCAGAGCTGCAAGAGCAAGTGAAGAAACTAATACAAAAGAAGCAAGAACTCTTGGTGCTAGTATCGGGTCAAAGAGACATTGAACATTGCAATAAGCCTCAACCAAAGGCAGTCGTAAGTTATCTCTCGACGGTTTCCGCGACTAGGCTTGGAGACAACGAAGTGATGGTCCAAATCTCATCGTCCAAGATCCATAACTTTTCGATATCTAATGTGTTGAGTGGATTAGAAGAAGATGGGTTTGTTCTTGTGGATGTTTCATCTTCAAGGTCTCAAGGAGAGAGGCTCTTCTACACTTTGCATCTTCAAGTGGAGAAGATGGATGATTATCAGCTGAATTGTGAAGAGTTAAGTCAGAGAATGTTGTACTTGTATGAGGAATGTGGAAACTCGTTTAGATTATAAATATTCTCTTGTTACTTTTAGTTCTTTTCGTCCTTTTGTCTTCAAAATCTAACATTCTTGACCAAAGCATTGTACTCGAATTGTTTCGGTTTTTTGATGGAAGTCAATGATCGATTACTACATGCTATTGACTGGTTACTATGTGATTCATATTACAGCTATAAACTTTAATTTTATTTTTGTCTACACTTCGATTCGACATTACTAATATAAATATATTTTTGGTGGCAAAACCTTTTTCTACGGGAAGTAGGTCTCCTTCTACTCTTAAAGTTAGTTAGTTGTTCTTTGGTGTATATTAATAAAATGAGAAAAGAAAAAGAGGGTATTTTATTACAACTACGTACTATATCAGTAATTGTTGGCAACATTATATATTAAAGAGTTCTAAAATTCTATTACATACTAAATTTTGGGCTCTAATTTAGAAGATTCGTTGCAAGTGAGAAAAGTTGCACTTATAAATGAATAGATGGATGACCCTGACATTTAAAGAGTTAATTATGAATCATTAGAATACATTATCCATTGATCTTGGAATTAATAGAGGGTGATTAGATAGAATAACCTACTTTTTTTTTAAATAGCTATAATAATTTTACTATTTTTTTATTGCTAAAATAACCTATTCTGGATTTTTTTTATTTCATAATATCAAAATTGTCCTTTGTAGACTCTACCAAAATATTGGCAAACTCTACCAAGACACTGGTAGACTAGCAGACTGTCTACCAACATTTTAGAAAAAAATTAAAGTGTCTACTAGAAAACCGCAGACTCTGCCGAGATATTGGTAGACTCTGCCGAAACATTGGCAGACTCTACCAATGTATTTGCAGACTCTACCGATATATTGACAGACTCTGCCAATATCTAGAAATTCGCAGACTCTACCAAAACATTAGTAGAGTATTGGCAGACTCTGCCGAGATATTAGTAGACTCTACCGAGATATTAGCAGAGTCTGCCAGTATCTAGAAAAGCGCAGAGTCTGCCGAAACATTAGTAGACTCTGCCGAGATATTGGTAGACACTACCAAAAAGACGCAGACTCTACTAAAAATGCAGACTATGCCGAGGTATTGGCAGACTCTGCGGAAGCATTGGCAGACTCTGCAAAAAAAATGTAGAATTTACAAAAAAATGTTATAATTTACGAAAACATTGACACACTTCTTGAGTGTTTTGTATTTTGTTGATAATGGCTTTTTAAATTTTGTGTCTATTTTTTTATTTGAAATGTTTTTTGTTTGAAATTAAATCTATTTCTAATTTTAATTAGTTTGTAGGGACATTTTTGGTATTATGAAAGAAACAAAATGTAAAGTAGGTTATTTGAACAATACAAATTTTAAGAGGTTATCCTAGTAATTTTTTTTAAAAAATGGGTTATTCTAGATAAATTTTTCATTAATATATTAGTAAAATACATAACTAAAAAAAAAATTAAAGTAGCATTCTCATCAAATGTTTTTGCAAAGGTAAAACCATGTTTTCATTAAAACAGCTTTATTCTATATTTACAATATTGTTACTGCTTGTATTGGATATATTTAAAATAATTTAAAATTCTGCAACAAAAAAAATTTGAAAAATATTACAATTATTAAAAAAAAAACCCAGTATGTGCTTTTTGGCAGAGCTTTTGTAGTGTTATTTCCCTATTTGTTCACATCCTTCACTTAATTATCCAATTTTATATGTTTAAACATATTTTTGTATAAAA